GAAAGCATTAAATGTTACATAACACAAAAAACACAATATACCGGTAGTAATTTTATTTAGAATAACCAACTAAAGAAAAAAATGTCTCATTCTTATTTATTTATTTCAGATTTTAAATTTGAAGCAGAAAAAACAATCTTTTTTTATCTTAGGAAAAAGTGCAAATAAAACTGACAAACTAACATAACCACAATGTATTATTTTATCTCCACTTTCCTAAGACATTGGTCTTAAAAAGTTGAAAATCCTTTCAGGGTTCTACAGCTGCAGGCAACCGACCCTTGGCTGAATGAAAATATGATATTTATTTTTTTAAGTATATGGTTTAATTGGATGTATTTTTTTATGTTTAATCTCCAAAAATCATACCTTTGCTGGTATTTCTCATTATTGATCACCTGAAAATGACACAAGTGAACTAATGCATGTAGAAACCATGGCTCTTAACTAAAACATATCCAAATAGCTATAGAAATAAGGATAGAATCTATTGGAATTACAGAGACCTGCACAGGAGCCACATATTTTAATTACACTGTGTGTTACTGTTTTCACTATAAACTGCAGGGGCAGAATTAAGTAGCACTTTTTTTTCAATATGTATGGTTATTCAGTAAAGCAAAGATATTTGGCATATATTCACTGAACTTGATCAAAGAACCTGGTGGCCCCTGGAGCCCTAGTTTTCAAAGGTTAACTCTAAAATATGACATTTGCCTCAAACCTTAAATTTGAAAGTGATAACTCCCTGAGCTTTGCAACAGAGGTCTTTTCAGGACTGCACTCATATAAAAGAACTGTCACAAAAACTTGCCTGAGAATTTCGACAGGTCTCTTGACTCTGGGGTTTGATTCTGCATGTAATCAAAAGTGCTCAGGTTGTGCTTGTTTTTTCTAAAAAGATAAGCCAGTAAGTCTATTAAAAAAGCTGTGTTTAGATTTGAAAAGTTGCCTCGCAGGCATCAAAAACCTAAACAAGGTGAAAGGCAGTAAACAAGCAAAATGGGAAAAAAATGGGTTACCTGTTGTCATGGTGTTTAGCCTTGCGTCAGAGCAGTGAATCATGTGCTATCTGCCACAAAGGTGACATCATTTCACTAAGAAGTGTCAGAGTAGGACATCCCTCAATGCCTTCATTTGTATCAATACTAAAAGGCAAAACTGAATGAGTGTTTTATTAAAGTTGAAAATAAGATGGCATAAACCTTTTAAAGAAAAAACATAAACCTTAAAAAAAAAAAAAACATCCTTATTAATACTATGCTCTGCTTTATGGTTCAGTAGAAGACGTTTTCATTCTGTTTGCATTTGTTAGTACACAGTGTGCTGACAAGAGATTAGATCAAATCAGCATGAGAAAATTATATGGAAGACATTGCCACATAAGAAAATTGAAGTTCTCGGCATGACATTAGCTCATAGCTCACCAGCTTCTGTGACACTGCTTAAATCTGTGTTACATGTAAAGCCTGGATTTGAAGACTGGTAGGACAGATTAATGGATACTATACAACAGGAAACAACAATATTAAAGGAAATTCAGCATTTTATAAAAACAGACACTAAAAAATAAAAAATAAACTCACTTATTGTATTTTTAAATGTTCAATGTGTAAAATGTAATACATTTCGCTGTACAGCACAACAACTAAGTACAATAACCTTTTACCACTGTGAAAAAAGGTGCCAATTTTATTTGAAAATGTAATAAGATATTTAGTTGAAATTACCTTGCCTGTGGACATCAGGAAAATTATCCAGCTACACACAACCCCCTCAAATAACAATGGGATGATGGTTGCCAAAAATAGTGTACAGACAAATTGTTAGCTAATTGTTATACTTTAGTCACAATGCTATGCAGTAATATACACTTTGATCATATTTGTCATAATTTGTCACACAATGCATTTCAGTTGGATTTTAAGTGAATAAGACTACAAAACATCAACTTTTGATTTTGACTTAGGCCTATATTTCAAGGCAAAACTGTAACTTTTAACCCAAATTTGAGCTTATTTTGAGATATATAAAATGATTTTTCAAGTCAGTGTACAGCACAATATTCACAGCGCATAGAAGCTCCCTGGAGGCTGCCCTTCTAGAAAACTTGCCTATGTATCGTGAAAGGGACAGATCCATTACTGAAGGAGTCATGTGACCCTGAGTGCTGCTTTATGGCAGTCTCCACTTAAACACAAGAGATGACAGGCCTTAGAGTCTTAATTAGGCTACAAAAAACAAAACACATGCCTGATTAGACATATTTTTGCTTCTCTGATGTGGGATTTAATCTATAAGAATGACCTCTCAGTCTGCTTGTTCACAATGGTCTATCAAATTCCTAAACACTAAGGGAGAAATGTTTCAAATCTTGCAACAGTACAGTGCTGGTAATGAACATTAGGGGCGCTAAAATTGAAAGTAACAAGTCTAATACCCCTAATGGTTAAAAATTACACAGTGTTGCTTTTATTATGCCACATAACAATTAGTGGGTGCTCTTGACATATGTGTCAATGAGAATATTTTTTCCAATGCCCATTATCTCTTCAAATCTGTACAACTTCACTTTACACTTAAAGAGAAAAATTGCCTCAACATGTCACTGCAATATCCTTGTGTTTTTATATTGTGCATTGATGGTGATTTTTAGATGTAGTTTTTCCACACATACACAGCAGTATGTGTACCAGCCAAAATATTACTTTTTGGAAACATCTAACCAGAGTGCCTTCATCAGTTTTTCCCCTGTCCTCTACATGGCTTGTTTCGGACTACAGCAGGACATATTGTGGTATTTTGTCGGCACTTGGTTTCGCCTGCTCCGCTCTATCTCTAGAAACCCTGGGGCAGGCGCCCGCTGCCAGCTAGAGATTAACCTCCTGTTTAGATTCTACACTTTCCTCCGGGATTGGACTGAACTTGAATCAGGTCAGTGACTTTGCTCCTTGTCGTGCCCAGCCCGACAATCCAGTCACTGACCTGTATTTCATATCCCTGCAGAGATTCGCCCCAAAGCTGATGGGCAGCCCACGTTCCTCATTGTTTAAATAAACACTTTGAACTTTCCAACTGCATATCTCGCCTCGAATTCTGGGTCCAACATTTTGAGTTCATTACAATCTTAGGATGTTTCTACCACTTAAAAGGAGTCTAAATGTGGAAAATTCAGTTGAGTGGACATGGTTAGGAAAGGCTCACCCCTGTCTATATAAGGTCCAACAGGTTACAGTGTTTGTCGGAGCACCAACACCAAGCATGACATCAAAGGAATTATCTGCAGATCTCAGAGACAGGATTCCTGAAGAAATCTAAAGAACAATAAAGAAAAGAATTTGCAGCTTTGAAGGTCCCAATGAGCCATTGCCTCACTGAAGCACAGTAGTGGCAGCACAATGCTTTGGGAATGTTTTTGAGCAGCAGGAACTACCTGACTAATCAGGATAGAGGGAAATATAACTACAGCATTTGCTATGCTCCAGAGCACTCTTGACTTCATTCTTGGATGATGATTCATTTTTCAGCAGGTCAACGACTTTATGTACACAGCTAAAATCTCAAAGGAGGAGCCAGAACCACTCAATGAATGTCCCAGAATGGTCAGGCCATATTTGAATCTGATTTAACATCTCTGGAATACCCCTTTGTGGAGATGTTTCACATCCAACTTTATGGACCTTGAGATGTATTCCAAAGAGTAATGGGCCAATCTGAGGACCTGAGGTTGCAATTCCTGCCAAAGATAGTTTAAAAGATTATTTCCAAAGGCTGTGAAAACTGTTTTTTTTTGTTTGTTTTTTTGGCTTATTGAGAAGTGGGATTTAGACTGATCTGCAAGGCTTTAAACCTGGGTTTGAATGGCAACAAAGCCATTCTAAAGCACATATCAAGGTGCTCATTTTTGAGCCTGCATCAATATTTATTTTGATTATGTTCATGGTGGAGAGTCCTGCTTCACAGCAGTAGGTTGAGTTAAACATACTCAAAATGTGCTGGGTCATCTATGAGCATGTCTCATGAACATGCCATTTCACTTTTCTGTCACCAGTTCACCGCAGTTCTTCCAGCAGTCCACACTTACTTTCACTTTTTCTCATCGTCTTCTCCTTCTTTCCCATTGCCCTGCTTGCCACAGGTTTGCCTGCTGTGTCTAAAAGTAGCTAGCAGCAACAGTCTTGACTGACACAACTCATTGGCTAATTTGTATCACTTGTAGCATGGTCCCGGATGCTCCGGAGGGCCTTACCGTACAAACGGTAGAAGCAGCGCAAATGAAATTAGACAGTGCCGTAGGACAACATGTTTTAAATCCGGTTGGATCCGGTTTAGCAAGCAGGGGAGTCCGGATCCAGACCGCGGTCGAGTAATCTGTGTACTCTGCTTTATGTCCTCTCTTTCCTTGAAAAGAAGACCAATTATATGATGTAGCTTTTGTTGTCTCCATTCTGGTTTGTTTGTGTGTGTGTGTATAAGTGAGGCTCTTTTCTGCTCTGAAGATCTGGGCATGTTGTTCAGTCTTCAATACTCCCACATGAGTGCAATTTAAAAGAAACTGCTGGATTACGATTCTCTGCCTGATCAACCATTGTTCAGAAAAAAGCTTCAAGTCACATTATGAGTATTATTGCTCATATAGTTAAGTTTATTTATCTGTTCGTGTCTCACTTCTCTTGCTTTCTGTGCCTCCTAGGTTCAAGACACTATTGAATTATTATCAAAGCCTTGATGGCTTTAGCCATTCCAACTCAGACAGACCTTCATTCTGGAAACAATCACCTGGTCTCCTTTTTAGTTTAATTGGATTTTATTTAGGATTGGTGTAAAGGGTGGTTTTCCATTCTATTACAAACTGTGCAATATGTGTTGGTCTTTCCCCAAAATGAAATTAAAATACGGTGACATTTGTGAAAATTGATAATAGCTCAGTAGGTTTGACGCTACTTAAGAAAATAGTGATAATTAATAATAATCTTTTCTTGATTTCTTTTGTTTTTCAGGTTCCTTTTTCCCAGCATTGAAACCATCCGACACTGTTTTTAAGTTTATCTTTTGGCTGGGATACTTCAACAGCTGCATTAACCCGATGATCTACCCTTGCTCCAGCAAAGAGTTCCAGCGGGCTTTTACTCGGCTCCTGAGATGCCAGTGTCATCAAAAGAGGAGGGTTCTGCGTCGCTTCTATGACCAGAGATGGAGAACAGCCATCAAGGGAATGACTAGAGAGCAGAGAAGGGACTACACTGCTGGTTATCCTATGCACGAATCCTGTGGAAGGTCCTTGATACACAAGAGGAAACATTGCTCACTAGGCTTAAAAAAAATTAGCCTTTTTTCACCATTACAAAAGTCCTCCTTCCAGTTTAAAGAAAAAGTGACTGATCTGTCCAATAAAATCAAAGGGGGCACAGGAAAAGGTTCCCCACCTGCCCTGAGTCAGGCTGATACAGTGGACACAGTCTCTATGGGAATTTACAGTTCCTGTGAGCAGAGCAGTTTTCAGTTATATGATCTGGCAGAGTGTTACGGCCTTAAAGAGACTGACATTTAGAGAGCCTCAGAGGGGAACTTTAACTATTTTCAAAGATCCATGCTGATCCAGCTTTCTGCAGACAGAGTCTGTTTGGGGCTTGATTCTATGGTCAGGAAATGGAAGAGAATCAACCCTTAGAACAATGAAACCAGCACACACTGGACCTAAAATCTTTACATCTTTTTAAGTTGTGTTTATGTACAAGATGTGATTAAAAAGCCAAAGTTTAGACTCCTTTACTTTATTTCATTTTAACACACATTCACATTATTACATAACGTGGATGTTTGTCTGTTGATGTATTTTGATAAATTAGAGTTCTGACAGCCTCCTTGTGTTCAATTATAAGGCAACCAATGGTGTGTGTTATAAAACTGTGAAATCTGTTGACTTTTTAAAGAAAAGGAGGAACAAAATATGCTGCTTTGAAAAACTTAGACATGAGTCAAAGTGCAACTTTTAATTTAGACTCTGAAGTGTAATAAACACAATTGCATTCCCTTTCAGACAGGGAGGCTTTAAAAGAGAAGAAGAAGAGTGTTTGCAAAGTTTAGATTTTTCATGTATATGACAACTTGGCATACATATGTATATATATAATTGTAGTATGAATTTCAAAGTGAACACTAATGTGAAATGAATGTGCTTCTTTGCATTTTGTATTGTAATGTTTGTTATGTAAAGCAAAATAAAAGGGGAGAAGAATAACTTGAGGAAAAATCTGCTTTATTATATGGCTGACACAAGAACTTACTGTTCAATTAACTGCTTTAGAGGGTTTTGATTTGTATGTTTTCTCAAAAAGATCATACTTTTTATTGACTTTGTAGAAAAGTTAAAATTTATGCTGTGTATTTTGTAAAATAAATCATTGCTGATGATAATCAATTCAATTGCCTGTTGATACACACTGTGTATGACTAGCTAATGCATGATGAATGTAGCTGAAGTTAGAACCTTTTTCAAAGGTTGCCATTTTGTTCTAAACCAAAGTGTCAAACTGGTTCCAGAAAGGGCCGTGTGGCTGCAGGTTTTCTTTCCAACCAAACAGTAGCACAACAGCCTCCATTCTTATCATCAAGTCATCATGTTCAGATTGGACTCCCTTGATGAGTTGACTGGAGTCTTGTGTGCTATTGCTTGGTTGGAAAGAAAACCTGCAGCCACACGGCCCTTTCTGGAACCAGTTTGACTCCCCTGTTCTAAACAAACAGGCTCTTTAATGTTTTGTTTTTACAAGAATGAGGCATGAATTTGGTCATGTCAAATGTAAAAGAAAATCAAACCATAGTCTCTCACTCCCACCTCAAAATCCTGGTGCATGGGTAGCTTCTATACCTGTCCTCTACCAGAGGCCCGGGAGCTTGAGGGTTCTTCACAGTATTTTAGATGTTCCTCCGGCTATGCTCATCTGGACTGAGATCTCGGGTGTTTCTCCTAGTATCCATTGGAGCTACTTCTATAGTGGCTTCGCTGACCATGGGCACTACAATTGCCTTCACCTACCAGCGTCTTTCTAGTTCTTTCCTGAGCCTTTTATATTTTTTTGAGTTACTCATGTTTTTTTTTTTTTACGAGGATGACATAATTTTGGGATGGCCAAATCGATTTCTATGGCTGTCCTCTAGTGCTTTTCAATGATCACAATGTATGATTTGTTGGCCACAATCATTTTGTCTGTTTGTATCTGGAAGTCCCACAGGATCTTATCTCTGCCATTCTCCAGCACCTTTGGAAGGGGCTCCCATTCTGACCTGGGGTCTTCAGCTTGTATTCTGAACAAATGTTTCTGTACACTATACCAGCCACTTTGTGAAGTATTCCATTTATTACTCCAGTACTTCCAGTATCTTGCACCCTGCTGTGAGATACTGGATTGTTTCCCGGGCCTCCCTGGGATCTTGCTTGGTACGGTAGATGTGGGGCTCTATTGCTCTGGCGCTCAAGGCCTGCTCCTGTGCTGGCATGATCAGTGCTTCTGTGCTATTTTCAGTACTTCTCTCTCTAGTAATTGGTAGGATTTGGTCACAGGTGGTTGGTACATCCCATGCAAGGTTTTTTGTTCCCATTATGGTTCTTTCAGTTCCTTCTCTTCCATTTTTAATTGTCTAAGACAATTACTAAGACCTTCATCTCTTGGTGCCATCTTCCAGATGTATTCTTGGAGCTTGGATATTTCCTTTTCAATAGTGGTTCTGATGCTCACTTGGCCTCTGGTGTATAGTAGTGGGTATTGGATTTGGGATGGAATCTCATATTCATGGCGATTAGTGTTTGTTTTGCTTTTGTTTTACATCAGTGGCCTGAATTTCCTCCTTTGGTACCCATACCCAAGCCCATAACATTATCAGTCCCACCATGGACTGTTCTCCCTGCTGTCCTCTGGGAAGAGGCTTCGAAACATTTGATGCAGGTCCAGCAGATTCCGAAACAGCTCTTCCCCACTGCCATCAGATAGCTGAACTGTTGAAAAAAACCAAAATACTGCATATTCACACCATATATTTTTGATGCTCTGAATTTCCATATTAATGCATTTTCAGTGATGGGCAGTAGCGCCGCTACATGTAGCGAAGCTATTAGTTTAACTACATTTTCGAGTAGCTTAACCGTAGCGTCACTGCTTTATTTGTCAAGTAACTTTCCTGTAGTGCCGTTATTTTTTTTTAACAAGTATTGACGTAACGTCCAAAAACGCTACAAAATCCAGGGCATAACTAAGAAATGAAATCACTAGGTTTTCTATTTTGAAACAACAATCGGAGTTATTTATTGGACATTCATGCACGAGCCTCTATTCTGCCTCTCCTGTCTGAAACTTGCGCATGCGCACGGCAGTGGAACTCACCGAACGACACACAGAGCCACACACCCACACAGGACGGAGGAGGAGACAGGAGCGGAGCGAGAGGAGCAGCCAACTGTCCCTACCACACCGTGGCCTTATCTTCAGAGTTATATGAAACTTGTTGAATCCTCAGATAAAAAGTACGTGTTCAGATGTCTGCTTTGCAATCCCGAAACGAAACTGTTGTCAACGTCCAGGACATCGAACACCAACCTGAGAACTCACATTCAGGTGAATCACTAATTTCCCTCCTGCAGTATGCAAGCGAAAATGTCTAGCATCAGTGTAAATCCCAACTCACTTTAGCCAAATGCTGTATATAAATTAGTAAAACGAAAGCTACCTAGCTAACCAGCAAGCAGTGTGTGATGGAAAGGGACTAGCCAAGTGGCTAAGCAGAAGTGTTAAAAAAAAAAAGCTTATGCAGTTTTTAGAATTGTAAAATTCAATAAGCATGGTGTTTTGTCAGGTTCAGTTATTCAAACATGAGTGATTTTCATGTGGCCAAGACTAGACATTTGTTTTACATAGTTAAACACTCATTAAAACGGTCAACTACAGTCAATTTTTAAAAAATAAAAATGAGAAAAATATATCAGCTTTAACTTTATTGGCGCCTTTAATTTCCAGATAGTTCAATCTGATGTGTGCCACTAAGATACTCTCATTAGAGAGCAGTAGCGAAACTTAGATATTGTATTTTCATGGCCTAGTTTACCAGACAGGATGTTTACATATATCTGTTTTAAGGCTTATTTGCAGAGATAAGATTTTTTATATATGGAGGAACAGCTATGCCATATATAAAAATAAATACAAAAATAAATAAATGCTCAATAATTAAATAAGCATTCGATTAATTGCCCCCAAAAATACAATAAATAAATATATGTAGGTAGAAATTAAATTATACAGTGAGACATAAATGTATATATATCACTTAATTAGCTTCTTTATTTTTTTCACCTTTGTAATCATTCTTATTTATTTATGTACGGTATAATATTTTATCTGTTTTATTCTTCCTTTTAATTTTTTACCCTATTTATTTCTTCAATGCTATGTAGACCGATGCATTAAATGCTAACCAACCAATGAACAGAAGTTGACCCTCTAAGACACAGCCCTTCCTGATTTGCATAATGAAGCAGAAATGTAAAAACCACAGGCAGAAATAAATAGCGTTGAAGAAATAAATAGGGTGAAAAAATACAAAGGCAGAATAAAACAGACAAAAATATTATATCATGCACATAAATAAATACTTAAGAAAATATTAATAAATAAAGTTAAAGCTTATAATGAACAATAAACAAATAAGGTAATTGTTACAAAGGCGAATAAATAAAGAAGCTAATTAAAAGGGATATATACATTTATGTTTCACTGTATAATTTAATTTTTACCTACATTTATTTATTGTATTTTTGGGGCAATTAATTGCATGCTTATTTATTTATTGAGCATTTATTTATTTCTGTATTTATTTTTAAATATGGCAGAGCTGGTCCTCCATATTAAGGGAGTTTGGGACCACAAAATAATTGTGAATCAATCATTTCTTCTTTAGAGGGTCCACCCAAATAAACTGGAATGGCTGGACAAGGAGCGTGCTTGGGCCAAAAAAAGTTGTCACCAGATGTCGCCACCTGTAAAAGATGAAGACCGTGACTTACAACCCAGCGTGTCACATTTTTTCAGGGGGGGCACACCCATCATATCTCAGGAACATTTCGATATGCTGAATCTTAACCTCATAGTTCAAGGAATGCATCCCCTCCACACTGTGGACAGACCTGAATATAGACAATTATTTAGTGAAATTCTGCCCTCAAGGCATTTGATTTCAAGGCGAACATTAGGGCGACTTCTCGACAAGGAATACTCTTCCATGAAGACTGCTTTGACTGATGTAATGTCCAAACAGAGTCACCTGTGCACCACCGCAGATGCCTGGTCATCAAATAATAGGAGCTTCCTCGGTGTCAGTGTCCACAAGAGACTGACACGGGAGTGAATTTTCACTCCTGTCCCGTCGCACTCCCACAGAAAAAAATGGTGTCCTGTCGGATTCCCGGGCCAGAGTAGAAATCTAAATCCTGTCCCGTCGCACTCCCACAGAAAAAAATGGTGTCCTGTCGGATTCCCGGGCCAGAGTAGAAATCTAAATCCTGTCCCGTCCCACTCCTGGTGAAATTACTCCCACTCCCATCCCGCTCCCATTCAGAATGACTCCCACTCCTGCACCACTCCCATTCTCGTTTTGGAGCACGGGTGAAAAACTCAGAGCGGAAGCACTGTTGGTTTTTGGGTCGTGTAGTTTTTTTGACTCGCATTATAGTGTAGGCTTCAAGAAAAAAAACTACAAAATGGCGGCGCCAGTACTGGATTTTTTTCTTTCTATTTTATTTTATTTTTTGGCATCGATCCTAGTTTTTTTTAGTTACTATTGGTTTGCTCCCGCAACCGTCTGCTCCTGTTAATGTTTAATCCTGTACCGTCCCAATCACGTGATCGTTACTAATACTGACTCCCATCCCACGGGAATCCCACGGGAATCTCTAGTGTCCACTGGATAGATGAGGACTCCTTGAACATCCGCTCTGGAGCATTAGCCTGCCGTAGAATTGTAGGGAGGCACACTTTTGATGTTTTGGCAGAGATGCTTGAAGCTGTTCACAGAGAATTCAACATTAAAGACAAGCTTACTCTGACAACTACCGATAACGGTTCTAACTTCATCAAGGCCTTTAGTATATTCACGGAAGTTCAGAGGAGTATCCAGGAATACAGAGCTGAGGAAGAGGAGGAGGAAGACGATGAGGAAGAGCACCCTGTCTT